TTCATCAAAGAGATCCACGTGTCCACACTTTCATCAAAGAGATCCACGTGCCCACACTTTCATCAAAGAGATCGACGTGTCCACACTTTCATCAGAGATCCACATGCCCACACATCCATCAAAGAGTTCCACGTGCCCACACTTTCATCAAAGAGATCCACGTGTCCTCTAGAACAAGGTGACCAGATGTCCCCCTTTTGGCGGGACAGCCCCAATTTTTGGCATTTTTTAAAAGTCCCGATTTTTGGGAAGAATGCACAACAAGCTAGGGAACAGTCTATTTGGTCCATATAGACCAAATTTTTAATCAAGAACACCCCCCACCCCCCATCAATGGTGTCCCGCCTTAAATCTGGTTGCCTTACTCGAGAAGGAAAACAACATCATCGGGTTGTTGCCACCACCCGTCTGCAAGTCTCTCCTACTGAGGTGACAGCCCTGCCACCGATGCTTCAGATCTCAGCGGGGTCACCCATGGGAGACAGGTTTCCACGGGGCTTCCTAACTAAGACCGACTAGGAAGACAGACCTGGGGGTCTCTTTCTTAAAAGCCCGCCAGCGAAAGCCCTGTGTGGACCACCACAGACTATCATCCAAGGGCCGAGGTCATGACGCTGGAGCAGGACGGGGTCGTGTTTGACACTCTCTGGGGTCACTAGGACTTGGAGCCAGCGCCCCGGCACGAACCACCTCAACGGCTTGCCCGTCATTTCCACTGCCTCCTGTGCGCGTGAAGTCGGACATGGCAGGAGGAGGAACAGATGCATCTGAACTGCGGTGCTGGAAAAGACCGTTGAAAGCATCACGGGCCGCTCAAAGGAAGAGCCCATCCGTCTCGGAAGAAGTGACGTGTCGTTCTGTTGAGCACAGGGTCGCTGTGGGTCGGAACCGATTGGATGGCCCCTAACAAGTGCCTTTCCAAATATCAACCCATTCGATCCTTACGGCCACCTGTGAGAAAAGTACTGCCATTATCCCTGTTTCCCAGATGGGGAGGCTGAGGTCACAGGTCAGTTGGCGCTTGTCCAAGTCACTCACCTGGTGAATGACAGGCTGGCTGGGCAGCGCTTGCGTTTACCCTGTCTTGGAAGGGAGGGGTGGGATGCAGCGGGGGCGGGCTGGCGTGGCGAGTGCATCCCCGACTGGACCCCCTCTTCCTCCCCCAGTGGATGATGTCCAGGTGTCTTGCTACCGAACCCTGTGCAGTATCTACTCTCTGGGCACCACCAAGAGCACTTACGTGGAGAAGTAAGGAGGCAGAACCACAGTTCTGGGCTCAAGCGGGGGACCATGGGGAATCCGAGAGCGGAGGGACAAGGGGAAAGAAGATGTGTGAGCCTGGAAAACTGGCAGTCATCATTCCTTCGGCAGCCATGGGCCCTCATGGGAAAGCCAGCCACTGGGAGGGCCACCAGTGGGGGGGGACGACGGGAGGCCTGGTGGACATCAAGCGCTTGCAGACAAGGATCTCAGGCCACACACTCACTGCTGAGTGTCAGGCATGCCCTGGAAGGCAGGGGGCACACAGAAACAAGGGTAGCACACAGGAGCACTGGGCCCGGGAGACACTGGGCAGTGCCCATGTGGGCTTTCAGAGCCCAGTATCACTAGCTGAGCAGGACGCCCTTCGGGATGTCTGAGGAAAGGCCATTTACCAGAAATGCAGTCTTTCCGGTCCCAGCAAGCACCCGGGTGAACGTAAGCTCTGCCCCAAAGCGCCCTGGCCAGGGGTGCATGGATGGGGGGTTGGTGCCCAAGACCAAGCAGGGTGGAGGGAGGGGGGAAAGCTTGGAGCTGACCACAGTCTTCTCGTGCAGGCTGAGGCCTGCCCTTGGCGAGTGCCTGGCCCGCCTCGCTGCAGCCATGCCCGTGGCCTTCCTGGAGCCTCAACTGAACGAGTACAACGCCTGCTCCGTGTACACCACCAAGTCTCCCCGAGAGCGGGCCAGTAAGTGGTGGGAAGGGGGGGTGGCGGCAGTGGGGTGACCTCGCTGGGCTGTGAGTAGCTGGAGGTCCAGATTGGAGGTGCTCCAGGGTGGAGCACCCCAGGGTGTCTCGGCATGCTGGTTTGTGGGGCTGTGAGGCCATTGCGAGGCTGCTAGCCGAGAAATTCAGGTCCCTTCGATGGAGCCCTGGTGGTGTCGTGGGTAATGTGTTGGGCTGCTAACCACAAGGTCAGTAGTTCAAACCCCCGGGAAACAGATGAGGTTTTATACTCCTGTAAAGATCTCCGAGTTCCGTACCACACAGGGCAGTTCTGCTCTGTCCTATAGGGCCAGGATGAGGGGCAGTCGACTGAATGGCAGTGAGTGTGGTTTTGGGTCGTGCAGAGGGTTAAGCACCTAACCACTGACCGAGACGTTGGCTGTTCAAACCACACACACACACACACCCATGATGCCTCAGAACAAAGGCTTCTGAAAGGTCACACTGGTGGGTGGACGTGTGCCGGGATCAAGTTGATGGCCATTGTTTTATATGTGTGTGTGTTTATATGATTATATGTTTATTATTATTATTTCTATGATTCAATTTTTGTTATTATTAACAATGACTCCAAACCTAGCAGTGTTCCTTCCTGTTGTACTTAGGGTTCCTACGAATCGGAACCTGCTTGATGGCACTCACAACATGTAGATGACAGTAAGCCCCAAAACATCGCCACTGGGGTTCCAGGTCCCCTGTGCACAGGTGTGCTCCCACAGGGAATGTTTAAACCTGTCTCTGTGATCAGCGGGTGGCTGCCAGTGAGATCTCTAAGTCATATACTTGCCTCAGTCTCATTAGGATGTGTGTTAGTCCGAGTAGACTAGAGAAACAAATTCATAGACACTCATATGTGTATAGGAAAGAGCTTTATATAAAGAGTAATTGTACATTAAGAAAACATCCCAGCCCAGTCCAGATCAAGTCCATAAGTCCATATTAGCCCATATGTCTGATACCAATCTATAAAGTCCTCTTCAGACTCACGCAACACATGCGATGATGCCGAGTACAGGAAGATCACAGGCTAGTGGGTAGGAAGTCTTGTGGATCCAGTGGTGGTGGAAGCATCTCAGCGCTGGCGTGGGTCTCCACTTTGGCTCCTCCAGCTCCAAGGCTGTATGGTAGCTCCATGTGTCTTATCAACAGGAATGTCTCACCTCCAGCTCACCTCCAGAGAGCTGTTTATCTCCTTAGCACCTCCAAATGAGGTCATCAAGCTGTGACCTGATTGACAGGCTGAACTCCACCCTTTTACTCTTAATAGTCTCACATTGACAACAGATTATGTAACTACCACAGGATGCCTTCAAAAAACCAAGCAAGCCAGCCAGCCCATCATCACAGTGGCTTCCACGGGAATCTGCTGGCTCAATTGAATTCAAGGCTGAGAGGTCAAGTCAATGTTAATGGTAACTACTGTGGGGAATTCCCAAGGGGTCATCTGGATAGATTATAACTTGTATTTCAAAGGACACAGAGTGATCACAGGGGCGTACTTTGAAGAAGTTTTAAGAAAATTGAAAGCTGTCTTGATGAGAAAAAGCCCAGGATAGTGGCCCCAGGGAATTTTTCCATCAGGACCTGCTCATCAAGGGTAGCAAGGGCTGTCCCAGGAGAATGCCATTACTCCCTCTACCCCACAGCCTGGATCTTGCCCCTTCAGACTTCTTTGTTCCCCAGACTCAAAGACTGCTGGAAGGCACACAATTTACATCCCCCGAGGAGGCCAACAGGACCGCTTTTGAGGTGGCGGAAGTTGGAGATGGCGGAAGTTTTGGGGAAGCATTGGGGAGATGGGAACATCAGCTTCTGGAGCAGACAGACCCAGAGGGAGGCTATGTTGAGGACTAATAGCTTCGGGTTTTGATATTTTTGTTTATAAGGTTTCTGATTTTGTAGTCATACAAAATCTTTAACTTTCTCGTGTGTGTGTGTGTGTGTGTGTGTGTGTGTGTGTGTGTGTGTGTGTTATGGGGTGGGTGTATGTTTCCAGGGACTGGGTTAGGATGTGAAATGTAGATAAGACTTAAAGACTTAGGAACAGGGGTGGGAGAGTGTTATTTGTTACATGACAGTTTAAGGCAAAAGCCGAACTCACTACCATTCTGACGCCTGGCGACCCTGTAGGACAGAGCAGAACTGACCCTGTGGGTTTCCCGGACGGGAGCTCTTGGTCGGAGCACAGAGCCTCTTCTCTCCCCCCAGCGGGGCACCGGGTGGTTTCCACATGTCAGCAGGCCAAAGCTTCACCCAACTATGCTGCCAAGGGCCTGCAGACAGGGAAGGGGAACTAGTTTGGGATGAGAGAGATTTCGAAAGTGAAGGCTTCCTGGGTGTTGACAGGGTGAGATTTTAGGGAGAAGACAGGCTTGGGGGTGTGAAACATTTAGAGTCACTCCATCTCCATTTCCACGTGAAGGTCAGGGAAGTTATTTGGGTTGGAAGGTAAGCGTCAGAGGAGGGAGGTTGGGGGACTCATTTGAGTGCGTGGCGTTTCACTGGTGCCTAACTTGTTATGGGCACTTGGGGGCCTTGAGTTCTGGGGATGATGGGTCAGCAGGCCCTGACTCCTCCCCGCACCCCAGTTCTGGGGCTCCCCAACAGCGTGGAGGAGATGTGCCCCGACATCCCGGTGCTGGAGCGGCTCATGGCCGAGATCGGGGGACTGGCCGTGTCGGGGGCGCGCTACACAGAGATGCCACACGTCATCGAGATCACGCTGCCCATGCTGTGCAGCTACCTCCCGCGCTGGTGGGAGTATGGGCCCGAGACCCCGCCCCCTGGCGCGCCCCCACCCTGCACCGCCGTCACCTCCGACCACCTCAACTCCTTGCTGGGCAACATCTTGCGGATCATCGTCAACAACCTGGGCATCGACGAGGCCTCATGGATGAAGCGGCTCGCTGGCAAGTGGGGGCCGAGGGGCTGGGTCACGGCAACAGAGGGGTCCCTGTGTCCAGGGGCCTTGGGAAGTTGGGAGGAGTCAAGGGCCTGAGTTTGGTAATCTCAGGGTCCAAAGGCTAGGGGTCATGGCAAGGGAGGGGTCAGAGTGTCTGGCCCCAAGGGCCCTGGGAGCCCTCCAGGCTGAATTCTGGATGTCTGGCTTAGGTCAGGGGTTAGGAAGTGAGTCACAAGCCTGAAAAATCCCTTCGACAAAGGACAGGTCACCCATCAGGCCTGGGCTATAGGTCCAGGTCAGAGGTTGGGATGAGAGTGCAGGGGTTAAGTCAGAAGTCAGGATTGAGTTCAGGTCTGATACTGAGGTAAGAGAGATGAGAGACCAGAGTCAGGATGGGGTCGGTGGACTAGTATTGAGTCAGAAGGACAGGTCTCCGGCTAGACCAGAGCATGCACACAAGTACAGATAAGAACTGGAAACAGGGAATCCAGGACAGATAAACCCCTCAGGAACAATAATGAGAGTTGCAATACCAAGAGGGGAAGGGGAAGGTGGGGAGAGAAAGGGGAAACCAATCACAATGGTCTACATATAACCCCCTCCCAGGGGGATGGACAACAGAAAAGTGGGTGAAGACAGACATTGGTCAGTGTAAGACATGAATATATATATAAATATATATGTACATTTTTTTATATAAATGACCAAGGGTTCCGTGAGGAAGGGAGGGTGGGTGGGAGATGGAGGGGAGAAAATGAGGAGCTGATACCAAGGGCTCAAGTAGAAAGAAAAATGTTTTGAAAATGATGATGGCAACAAATGTACACATGTGCTTGACCCAATAGATGCATGGATGGATTGCGATAAGAGCTGTATGAGCCCCCAATAAAATGATTAAAAACACCACCAACAAAAGGACAGGTCAGGGGTCAGGGGGCGGGTCAGCGTGCAGGGGCAGTGTCAGAGGTTCGGGGACAGAAGCAGGTGCTGTGGGGTCCGGTCAGGTGAACCTGCCCCTGCTCCTGCAGTGTTCGCCCAGCCCATCGTCAGCCGGGCGCGGCCGGAGCTGCTGCACTCCCACTTCATCCCCACCATCGGGCGGCTGCGCAAGCGCGCGGGCAAGGTGGTGTCCGAGGAGGAGCAGCTGCGCCTGGAGGCCAAGGCCGAGGCCCAGGAGGGCGAGCTCCTGGTGCGGGACGAGTTCTCCGTGCTCTGCCGGGACCTGTACGCCCTCTACCCGCTGCTCATCCGCTACGTGGACAACAACAGGTCAGATAAAGTCCTCCGATTCCTGCCTGGCTCCTCCCCACCTTCTGACCGCTGCCTTTCCCCTCCCTCTTCGGATTGTTGCCACATTCTTACAGCCCAACCCAGCCCTGCAACCTGGTGGTGTAGTGAGTTACGCTGTTGGGCTGCTAACCACAAGGTCAGCAGTTTGAAGCCACCAGCCACTCCAGGGGAGAAAGATGAGGCTTTCTACTCCCATAAAGATGTCTGGTCTTGGAAACCTACAGGGCCTGGTGGAATTGGCCCAATGGCAGGGAGTTCTGAGTTTCACTCTGCTTCAGCTCCTCTGAATCTGACCACTGTGCCATTTGTCCCGTCAGCCTTCAAGGGCTTACTGACCTGTAGCTGGGCTGTCTGATTTGTGTAGTACTGCCTGATGGCCAGGCCTTAGACAGCCCCGCTTATTTCCCCCAGAAACATAGTTCTTTAGTAAAAGGCCAAGGAAAGATATCAAACAATGGCAAAATCTCCCTGATTCGGAAGCACTGTATAAAGAACCATGAACTCATCCAAGGATGGTGAACAAGTTCCACCTCAGGTCTGGTAGACGATACTCAGATGGCATCTGGGCCTTGTGAGAAAAGGAGCTCTGGTTGATTAGTTATGTCTGTCAGGGCGCAGACATGGGAAATGGTAGCTTACACGTAACATAACCCTACTCTCGGTGTTGACACTTGAATGATCATCAGTTGCTGCTTGAGTTAGCCGCACATTTGGCCTGCAATAACCACTGGCTCACCCAGAGCCTGTTCCCAGGATTGGGAATCTTCTAGAAACCTTCAGTTTCATGGGGTTTCCATGAGTCAACATTGACTTGTGGTACCTGGTGGTGGTGGCAGGTGTGAGTTCAGGAAAGCTCTGGTTCCTTCCAGGGCTTGTTTCTCTCTTCGTCTCTAAGAGGAAAGGATGAGAGGTTGGAGCCTGTGCCCCTCAGTAGTCTTGCCTAGAATGAGTCTGGTCAGCCAGAGAGGTGCTTCTGGGGAAGTCCATGTTACCTGCTCCCTCCTCCATGCCCCTCACTTTTCTGATCTTTAAACTCAAACCCATTGCTGTCACGTCCATTCCAACTCACAGAGATCCTGTAGGACACGATAAAACTGCCCCCGTTCTGTTTCCAAGGCTGTAATCTTTGCAGAACCTGACAGCTGCATCTTTCTTTCTTTCTTTCTTTCTTTTTTTTTTTTCATCTTTCTTTCACCGCGCAGCTGGTGGCTTCAAACCACCAACCTTTTTGGTAGTAGCCAAGTATTTTAACCACTGAGCCACTAGGCATCCTGGTTTGAGGCTTTTAAAAAAACACCAAAAAACAAAAAACCCAAGCCCACTGCCATCTAGCAAATTCCAACTCATAAATCTAAGGTTTCGGAGGTTGTAAATCTTTACAAGAGTGGGTAGCCTCATCTTTCTCCCTGAGAGTGGCTGGTGGATTTGAACCACCAACCTTGAAGGTTGGCCCAGTGCCTGAACCACAGTGTCAGCAGGGTTCCTTTTAAGCTGAAAAGCCAAATCCACTGCCACGGAGTCAATTCCAACCCATAGTGACTGCATCTAGGTTTTTAAAACTGCCCTTCTTTACGGAGCGGACAGCCTCATCTTACTCCTAAGGAGCAGCTGGTGGGTTTGAACCATCAACCTTGTAGTTAGCAGCCCAACTTCCAACCCGCTGAGTTCATTCTGACTCATAGCACCCCTACAGGAGAGAGTAGAACTGCCCCCTTTGGGTTGCTCAAGCTGTAAATCTTTACGGGAGTAGAAATCCTCATCTTTTTCCCAAGGAAGGGCCAGTGGTTTCGAACTACCAACTTTGCTATTACCAGCCCAACCAGTAACCCCCTAAGCCACCAGGACTCCTTTTGAAGATTAGGCAGGAAGAATTCTGTGGTTGACTTAGATGAATGATTCCCATCTGACATGGGAGAGGGGTGGTTGCTGAGTTATGAGGTTCTGGGGGTTGGGGGGGGGGGCGTGTATGGTGTGCAGCAAGGACCCTGGGCAGCATCTTCCCCAGCTCCCTGGCCCTGGACATCATGCAATCACATGCAACCACCAGCTTCCGTACTCATCTAGGTTGTAAATCTTAATTCCTTGCTTTTAAACGATTTCACTGATAAGCACTTCACCAATCATATCAATATCCTATCCTATCACTTCAGTAGTTCCATCCCCTGCAGAAGGGTTGTGCACCCTGTACCGCGATCGAGTCCAGCACATGACTTCTTCCTGTTGTTAGCTCCCCATTTCCTGCCAGCCCCCGTCATATCCCTTCGAGTCTACCGATCCAGTTGCTGTCTCTGTAAGCTTACCTCTGTCAGCAAGCTCCTGTGGTTAACGACAGACCCCCAGAGGAGCATCTAGCCCACCTCTCCCGCCTTACTGGCGATGGAGCGGGCTCTGCAGTTGGAGGGATGCCTGGGCACCAGGAGTCTGAACAAATGTCCGTGCACACAGTGGAGGACCCCACAGCAACAGAAGTGAATGAGCCATGGCAAGGACACCGAGGCATGGGGAAACAGGATTCTGAGTGGAAGGAGCCAGGAAAAGAATAACAACATTTAAGCAGTGACAGCAGCGTGCATTATTCTGCTGACGGCAAAGTTCAAAATTAGACAGAAGTGGCGTGTGGTTCTAGTGGTCAGGAGACGGGTCAGCAGTCAGGAGAGGGCAAAGGGATGGTGACGGCTGGGCAGGGGCCCCAGGGACTTCTGGGGGGTGACGCACTACTTTCCTGGACTTGGGTGGTGGCTCCCTGTGCTCGGTTCTGTGATCATTTCTTAAGGTGGCACTCATGAGTCTGACGTGACATGTGTGTGACATTTCAAGAGAGAGAGAGAAAAGGATGACCAAACGTGTTCCATTTTCTTTTTCTCTTTTTTATTGTTAAATCATTTTATTGGGGGCTCGTACAACTCTTGTCACAATCCATCCATCCATTGTGTCAAGCACATTTGTACATTTGTTGCCATCATCATCCTCAAAACCTTTGCTTTCTACACACGTTCCATTTTCATCTGAATGGCCCAATTACTAGAAAGTTCCATTTTTCCTATTGGGTGTCTCCTACTCCCCTCACCCCCGCTCCTTAGACCTTTCTCCTTCCTTGGGTATCCCCAAGGTCGCCTAGTGGTGACATGTTGGGCTGCGAACCCACCTGCCGCTCTGCAGGAGAAAGAGGAGGTGGTCTACTCCCATCCAGAGTTCCTTACAGTTTCGGGAACCCACAGGGACCCCACCTTGTCCTGTAGGGTCGCCATGAGTTGTCATCAACTGGATGGCAGTGAGTTTGGTTTGGGTTTTTTTTGGGGGGGAGGGGTATCCCCACCCCCAAGCCCTTACAGGTTCCTCCCCACCACCGTCCAGGGCACAGTGGCTGACAGAGCCCAACCCCAACGCGGAGGAGCTGTTCCGGATGGTGGGCGAAATCTTCATCTACTGGTCCAAGTCCCATGTGAGTCGGCCCTCACCCACCCCCCACCCCCGCAGCCCTCCCAACCCCCTCGGCTTCCTCCCCTGAGAGGCTACTCCCCACAGAGACCCCTACTCCATCCTCTCTGGTCCCCATCCTGCCTCCCCCCACCAGAATTTTAAGCGCGAGGAGCAGAACTTTGTGGTCCAGAACGAGATCAACAACATGTCCTTCCTGACTGCTGACAGCAAGAGCAAGATGGCCAAGGTGGGTGTTGGTTCTGGGAGGAGGACTTGGCCGGGAGGGAGGGAGTACTCTCCTGAGCACCCTCCCCTGCCCAGCCAGCCTGCCCTGCCCTGCCCCCGGGCATGTTCCCCCCAGCCCTCAGTGCAGTCCCCCTCCTCCACCTCCTTCCTTTGTTGTCTTCCTTGCCCCCCATCACTGCCCTTCCACAGCCATCGCCTGCCTCCCTCCTCCACCCCATCCCTTCCCATCATTGTCCTCTCCATCCTCTCCCCTCCCCCGCTCCTCCCATCCTCTTTCTCCTCTGCCACCCCTCCTTCTACTTCTCTCCTCCTCCTCCCACCCCAGAGTTCTCTTCTCCTCCGCCCACTCCCTTCCTCACCTGCCCACCATCCCAGACGCCCCCATGCCCTTGCCTCTCCCCCCACCCCCAGCCTTCTCAGACCTCCCCTCTTCAGGTCCAAATGAGCCGCCCTCTTACCCCTTCAGCAAGGTCTGGATGTGCCCAGCTAGGGATGCGGGCTGGGGTGGTGGGCAGAGGAGCTGGGTGCAGCCAACTTGGAACCGGGCCTGGGGTTCTCTGAGGGTCCCGGGTAACCCTTCTTGTCTCTGTTTGCTATCCGGTGAAGCAGGCAGGAGATACACAGGTCAGCCCCCATCTGGAACCTTCCGCATGGCACTTGGCTCACACCTTTTCCCTCCACCTTTCTCCAGCACCCCTCCAGAATACCCCTCCCTCTGCTCCCCACCCACCCTCCGTGGCTCCCATCCCCCCCTTCGCCATCCCTTCCCAAGCCCACCCAGCCCCCAGCTTCTTGACAATTTGACTTCTTCTTCTTCTCCTTTTTTTTTTTTTTTTTAATTTAAATTTTTGTTGAAAATAAATAAATAAAAGAAGAAGAAGTTTGTCTTCAGCTTTGCCGGAGCATCTTGAGCAGAGATGGGGAGGAGAGGGTGGGGTGGACCGTGCATGACTGGAAGGCAGAACTCTCGCCATGCAGTGATGGAAGGCTTGGTCTCTGGAACAGACTTGGGTTCAAATCCAGGCTCTGTCGGGAGTGAGCTGTGTGACCCTGGCCAAATGTCATAGCCATTTGAGCCTCTGTCAGCATCCCCCTGGGGCCCTGGGCCCCGGACTCCACCAGGCTGAGATGCTGCATGCGTGGCCTTCGGCAGTGTCTGGCACATGGGCCATGCTCAGTCTGCGAGCCGGTCTGGCTGTGGCTCTGGCCGAAGCTTGTCACCAGGGCTTCTCACTGGCATGTCAGGGGTGGCACCGAACACAGAGCTGCAACCAAGGCTCCAGAACATGGCTGTGGGACTCTGCGTCCTGTCTCTGCCTCCAGAGCTTTCTGGATCTCTTTTGCATCTTCTGTCGCCGTTGCCTTGCCCGTCTCTCTTATGCCTCTCTTCCTCTTCCCGCGTCTCTTGACTCTTGGGACTGTGGTTCTGCATCTTTATTTGCTCCTTGGGGTGTGGTCTGGGGTTAGGGGGTCAAGGCTTGTGCATGCTGTGGGGTCGCTGGGGATCTGGAGAGAGAGCTCCTAGAGGTTGGGAAGGTCCAGCGTTGGGGAGAACTGGCAAGAAGTTGGAGATGGGGGCGTGGACCTGGGAGGGTCTAGGGTCAAGGCTTGAGGTCTGAGATGAAGGAAGGATCATCCAGGTATGGGGAAGAAAATAGGGTGTCCTCTGAGATGAGGGGATGAGGGTTGGATGACGGGTAATGGCTGTGGGTTGGGGCATGGGGCTGGCCTGAGGCAAGGGACCAGGGTTGCCCCGCCCCCCCAGCAGCTCTGAGTCCTGTGTTCCCACAGTCAGGTGGCTCAGACCAGGAACGAACCAAGAAGAAGCGCCGAGGGGATCGCTACTCAGTGCAGACGTCACTGATTGTGGCCACGCTCAAGAAGATGCTGCCCATCGGCCTGAACATGTGTGCCCCCACTGACCAGGAGCTCATCGCACTGGCCAAGACCCGCTATGCTCTGGTGCCTGCCCAGCCCCACTAAGCTCATGGGCCCTATTGAATCCCCAGGAGCCTGGGAGACTCCCCTAGTCAACAGACACAAACACGCCCCTGCAGTGACATGAGCCATCTTGGGGATGTTGTGGAGCTCACTCCTGGCATGCCAGGGCCCTGGGGCCTGCAAACCCTAACTGGTACTCCATGGGGTCCTCAGGAATGCCACCAAGGCCCGTGGATCCTCCCCACCGAACTCCCTGGGGCCTGAGGACCTTCCACTTAATACCACACAGCAGTCAGGATTCCTGCTGACACTGTCTACCCCACCCCACCCCAGATGGTACCACACCTACTGGGTCCCTGAGGACCCACTTCAAGATACCAATGAGTCCTCAGGTGCCTCAGAGACCTTCTGCCAGGACCCCAAAGCCCTTTGGGGTCCAATGAGCCCCTCATGACCTCCCCGGGGCCCCTAAAACTGAACCCCTGGGTCTCTACGGAGTTCTCCAGCTTAGCATCTCTCTCCCTCAGGACCGTGCTGACGCCCCCCACTCCCTTGACCTCACTGAGCCCCCAAGAACTCCCCGGGACCCTAATGACTCCTTCCTAGAACCAGGCCACAACCTCTCATGTCTCTCAGATCTCCTGGGGACCAACAGATCCCTGCTTTAGTTCCCTCTTAAGCACTTGAGGATCCCAAGGAGGCCTCCCAGTGTCCCACTTAGCCCTTGTCTGGAACTGCAGGAACCACCCACCCCCACACACCTTAAAGTGGCCTCCCAGAACCCTGCCCTGAGACTCTTGGGAGCCCTCCCTCCAGGACCCTGCCTACCTACTGAGCCTCTGGGGGCCTGAAGTTCACTAACATGGACTCCACAAAGATCTCCTTCCCAAGATTCCAAAGGCCCCTTCTTCTAGGGCCTGTTGAATCCCAACAGAACCCTAAAGACCCCTCACCTTGATCCTTGGGGATCCCTCTTTCCTGAGACCCTAATAAACTCCCACCCTGGTCAACCTTTCTCTGGCCCCTATGTGAGCCTCCCCAGTGACCTGGTTGCCCTCTTCGATCTCCCAGCGATCTTTGCTGCCCGTGCCAATCTCTCACAATCCCTTTGATCTTGGCAAAGTCCCTGGCCACCTTCCACTCTCCCTCTCCCCCCACCCCAGGTCCTTGCTGGCTCTCCTGTGACCCTGACAATCTCTCTTTAGCCTTGGGTGGCATCCTTTCGCCACCCCCTGCCTCCTCCCAAGACCCCATGAGGCTCCTCAAATCCTAGTTGTCTCTTTGCCCTGCAGCTCCTCTGGGAAGTCCCACTGACCGCTGACTATTAAGACTTGAAGCCTCGCCCACAAATCTCCTGGGAGGTCTTGGCGCGAGGGGGCCTAGAAGCGAAGGGTAGGGCCTAGGAGGACGCTGCGTCCTCGGGAGTAACCGAGTCTGCCTGCCGTGTCTCTCCAGAAAGACACCGATGAAGAGGTCCGGGAGTACCTGCAGAACAACCTGCACCTGCAGGGAAAGGTATGCCTCCCTCGTCTGCAGCCGAAGGGAGCATGTTGAAGCAGTAAGACCTGATCTCACGCCGGCTGCCCTTCCTCCCACAGGTCGAAGGCTCCCCGTCCCTACGCTGGCAGATGGCGCTGTACCGGGGGGTTCCCGGCCGCGAGGAGGACTCCGACGACCCCGAGAAAATCGTGCGCAGAGTCCAGGAGGTGTCCGCCGTGCTCTACCATCTGGAGCAGGTGGGTGGAGCCGGGGGATTCTTAATGCTGAGTGGCTGATGGTGGAGTTTGGGGCGGGACTTGGCCCTCTGGGCGGGGCGTAGGAGGGACCAGCCTGGGGTCTGCGAGCTCGGGGTGGAGGGGTGGGGGTGGAACCTTCAGTCCGAGACAAAGTTGAACAAGGTTCGGGGGCGGGGCCTTCGTTTCTGGGGTGGGGCTTCGTCGGACCCCTTGAGCCTGCGGACAGTGTGGGGCGGGGCCTAGGATGGAGACTCCGGTCTGGAGGCGGAGCTGAGGTCAGCACCTTAACTCTGCGAGGCGGGGCCTGAGTTCGGCCCTGGGTACCCCCGGGGGTCCAAGGACGTGACCCCCTGTCCGGCCCCTCAGACAGAGCATCCGTACAAGTCCAAGAAGGCCGTGTGGCACAAGCTCTTGTCCAAGCAGCGCCGGCGGGCGGTCGTAGCCTGTTTCCGCATGACCCCCCTGTACAACCTGCCCACGTAAGACCCCCCCGGGAGTGGGGGAGGCGGCTAAAGGGTGGTGTGGAGACGGGAGGATGGAGTGCCACCAACACGGGCGGAGGCGAGGCCTCGGTGACGCCCACCCGTGCCCTGCAGGCACCGCGCGTGTAACATGTTCCTAGAGAGCTACAAGGCGGCGTGGATCCTGACTGAAGACCACAGCTTTGAGGACCGCATGATAGACGACCTTTCAGTGAGCTGGCGCCGGCCCAGGCTTGGGGGGGGGGGGGCCGCTGGATAAGGCTGGTGGCCTAAGACTGCCTGCTGGGCCCCTTTAGTGGCGCTCTCACAGTGAGGTCTATGGATGTGGCTGCCATGAAATATTTGGTTAGGGAACCCATGGCGTGGTGGTTACGCACTGAACTGTTAACCACAAGGTCAGCAGTTGAGACCCACCAGCCGCTCTATGGGAGAAAGACGAGGCTCTACTCTCTTAAGAGTTACAGTCTTGGAAACCCACAGCGGTGGGTCTACCCTGTCTTAGTCACTGTGAGTTGAGACGGACCCGATTGCAGGGAGTGTTGCTCTGTTTTGCGGTATAGTTTGGAGCCTGGTGGCGTGGTAGGTTACTCATTGGGCTGCTAACCACAGGGCCAGCAGTTAGAAACCAGGAGCCTCCATGGAGAAAGGGCTTTCTACTCCCATTACAGACTTGGAAACCCACGGGGGCAGTTCTACTCTGCCCTAGAGGGTCACCGTGAGTCGGAATCAACCAGATGGCAGTGAGTTTGGTTTTACAGTTCGTGCTCTGGCAGAGCCAAGGGAGGGGGCAGGAGGAGGCAAAGAGAGCCCAGCAAGACTCTGGGAGGGAGGAGGCAGGAGCAGACTCTGGAAGCCCTCCCCACAAGCCCCACCCCTCCCCCCAGAAAGCTGGGGAGCAAGAGGAGGAGGAGGAGGAAGAAGAGGAAAAGAAGCCAGATCCCCTGCACCAGCTGGTCCTGCACTTCAGCCGCACAGCCCTGACTGAAAAGAGGTAAAGACCCTCCCTCAGCCTCCGAGATGTCCCTGGGGTCCCACCCCGAGCCACCTCCCTATTCTTCAGAAGAGGCCCTCTGTCCTGGGAGAGACCCACGGCTGATCTTTCCATCACTTTACTCAAGGCAGCCCCATCCCACTTAGATTCACAAGGTGTCTCCCCTGAAGTGTTCACATCCCAGACGATGCAGCTTTATCAGCATTCCCGGACAGAATGTCTTGCTTGAACAAAAACCTTTTATTATGATACATTTCCAACGGATGAAAGCGAGGAAGGCGGGAGAGGGGGCTTTTGTTCAAATTCACACAAAGGTTTGCGTAAGCCAAAAGGTGGCAAGATGGCCCTGGAAGCTCCAGAATTCCATTAGCCCATTTCACCAGCCAAGGAGAAAGAGATTGCCCTTACCCGTAGCTCTGGCAGAACGCCCAGTGCAAATCATGTGACCAACCCTACCTATGACTACTATGGCCAAGCTAGATAGATGTTGATTGGCTAAGCCATGGGTCAGGAGTCCGCCTCCCTGAGCCACAAAGCCTGACAGTGCGGTGGGGTGACACACCAAGGGAAAGCTGGAAGCTCTTAGACAATGGGCAGGGGGTCCTTCCCCACAGGATTCTTACTGTTGCCCCCCTTCCTTCCTCCCTCAGCAAACTGGACGAGGATTACCTGTATATAGCATATGCTGATATCATGGCAAAGGTGAGACCCTGTCCCACCCAAGTCAGAGCCCCTTCTCCCCAGAAAGGCCTTGGGGAGTGGCCTGGGCTATCTTTGTTTCCTCCATCATCCCTATTTCCAGAGCTGCCACCTGGAGGAGGCAGAGGAGAAGGTAGAAGCTGAAGAAGACGTGGAGGTCTCCTTTGAGGTAGGCAGGCCCAGAGGGCCCCCGAGGAGCAGGGTGGGGACCCAGACTCCAACAGCCCAGGAGTTTCAGCAGCACGTGGCTCACAGACCAGGGTTTGAGGCCTGGCGGATGGGCAAAGTGGCGAGCATTGCAGAGGCGGGGTAGGAAGATACGACGTTACCAGAGCAACAACCCAAATTGGGTGGTGGCACAAGTGGGAAGGTCAAGATGAAAACACACAAGGGGGGTGTCGGAACCCAGCCCAGACGCCTGACCCAGCCTGGGGACAGGGGGTCAAGGAGCACGCCTCACAGGAGGGGCTCTCTGAGGGGAGGGGGAGGATAAAATGGTGTGACAGGAGAACAGGAACGAGGTATTCTGGGGAGGGGGAACGGCACAGGCAAAGGCTTGGCAGTGGGAGAGAGCTGGTACACACACCATGAATCCATGCTTCCAGTCCCTCGGGCCAAGGGCCCCAACCTTACCGTGCCGAGATTCTTAACCTAATTGGTGCCCTTTTTGAAAAAAAAAATCACCAAAAAAACAAACTCACTGCCATTGAGTGGATTCTGACATACAGCAACTCCAAAAGACAGGTAGACCTGTCCCTTTGAATTTCTGGGACTGTAACTCTTTATGGGAGTAGAAAGCCTCATCTTTCTCCCACAGAGCGACTGGTGGTTTCAAACTGCTGGCCTTGTGGTTAGCAGCCCAACAGGTAACTACTAGGCCACCAGGGCTCCTTTGGCATCTGATAAAGCCTTTCTCAAGATTCTTTTTTGGGGGTTTTTTTTGCATATAAAATAAGGTATGGGAATCAAAAAAAGTAAATGTATTTAAATAGGTACCAAAATATATCTGTATTTGTTTAAATCATGGCATGGTCATCCATGAGGGAGAAATTCCATAATCTTTCATTCCATTTTTCATGAACTGTTTGATGCCCTCTCAACACCCTCTCATCTATATACGTCTTTCATAACTGTGTGAGTCCAGGTAGACTAGAGAAACAAATTCATAGACACAGTTGAATATTGAGAAAACAGCCCAGCCCAGTCCAGATTAAGTCTATAAATCTGATATTAGCCCATATGTCCAAAACCAATCTATAAAGTCCTCTTCAGACTCACGAAACACATGCAATGGTGCCAAATGCAGGAAGATTGTGGGCCAGTGGGTGGGAAGTCTTGTAGATCCAGTAGCATTGTAAGCATCTCAGCATTGGCAGGGGTCTCCACGTGGCTTCTCCAGATCCAGGGTTTTGGCTGCATCAGGGGAGGTCCATGTGGCTTCTCCAGCACCCAGGGCTTCATCAGGGTAGGTCCATATAGCTTCTCCTCAGCGATGTCTCACAGGGAGTCAGCCTTGTCAAGTAGAGTCTCCAAGGGAGTGAGAGAGATGGCTCCCGCCTCTAAGGAAATCACAGGAGTTCCCAGAATTCTCAGGCGAAGGCCAGGCCCACACAGAGGTCTCGTTGATTATATCTTGATTGACAGGCCAGACTCCACCCCTTCATTTGTAATCCTCTCAAATTGACACTAGATTACGTAACTACCACAATAATCCACATAAGAAGCTCCAACAAGCGCCCTGGGGACATAGTGGTTATATGTTGGGCTGCTAACCATAAGATAAGCAGTTCAAAACCACCAGTCGCTTTGTGGGAGAAAGATGAGGTTTCTATTCCCCTAAAGGCTTACCGAATCAAAAGCCCTCCAGGGCAGTCCTATTCCATCCTAGAGGGTCACTTGGAGTCAGAAGCCCCTCGGAGGCAGTGAGTAGGGTTCTGATTACTTCTATCATGGTACATAATTGAGCCATGCATACTTAAATTTGTTTTATTGGCATATAATTCACATATCCAATTCAATGGTTTAAACTGATTAAGAGTTGTACACTCATCATCAAAATCAGTGTTAGAACTTTTTCTTTCTTGTACTTGTTTTACGACCTCCCCTTTCCCCGACCTCTCCTACCGTAACCCCAAGAAACTATTAATCCAGTCACTGTCTCTGTAGATTTCCCTATCCTGGATTTCGCATAGAGAAAAACACACACAACCACGACAATAACAAAATAAAACAGAGAAAACCCTCAATCCAAAAGAAAGCAGAAAATGATTAAAACGAGAACAAATTGAAAATGGGTCCAAAGGAAGAACAAGTGGTACGGTGTTAAGTTTTAACCTGACTACGTCTGCTTAGTCCACATTCCGATGCACTGTCTGGTAGCCAGGCCACTCACATTCCTGACCAGTGGTCAGCAGGGAGTCCCTGGACCCTTCATCCCCATGGCCACCATGTAGACCGATTTGGGGGCGGGGGCTTCACTGTCCTCCGTAGCCTTCACAGGTGCTATTTTGAGAGATCGGTAGCAACAGGCACGTGCTAACGAAAACATGAGACTCTGAGCAGATGCCAAAGCACTCAAGTCCCGCCACCGTTGCTCCCAATGAAAGGACAGGCCATGCTTCCATTCGTGGGGAGCTGAGGCATGTGCCACTGGGGTTCTGTCCCCTGGCACAAGGGCAGGGGCATGGGCCTCGGTGAGGAGCCCTAGTTGATGGAGCTCGTGTTTGGTGCTTGGCCAGTGCTAGGTGCCGGTGACGATGGGAGGACAAAAAGGCCCAGGGACAGAGGGCGGCCACAGGAGAAAGAAGGCATCCGGCTCTGTGGCAGCGGGCAGGGGTGAGGGGCAAGGTGGGGCGGGCCAAGGCCTTCAAGCAGAGCCTTTCTCACGGCCCCCCGGGGTGCCTCTGTGTCTCAGGAGAAGGAGATGGAGAAGCAGAGGCTCTTGTACCAGCAGGCGCGGCTGCACAATCGGGGCGCCGCCGAGATGGTGCTGCAGATGATCAGCGCCTGCAAAGGTGCCCCCGGCACACTGGCATCGCCCCCCAACCCCGGCCCACCCAGGCCCTGTCCCCAAGGGGGTGGCCCTGCCTACGCGGGAGGGGGGTGTTTGCACTTGCACCCTCCCCCAGGCATGTGTCCCTTGCCTTGAGGGCTCCCGGCCCCTCTTCCGCCCCTCCCCCCATCTCCCGGGACAGCCATGTGCGCTCCCAGACTGAGCCACCTCCCCTCAACCCGCTGCAGGCGAGACGGGCTCCATGGTGTCTTCCACCCTGAAGCTCGGCATCTCCATCCTGAATGGGGGCAACGCGGAGGTGCAGCAGGTGACGGAAACACAGGGCCTGCGGGGGACGCGTCCAGAGTGATGCGGTTGCCCCTCCCCATCTCACCCCCACCCCCCCGCCCCACCCCCGCCCTTCTGCAGAAAATGCTGGATTATCTGAAAGACAAGAAAGAAGTTGGCTTCTTCCAGAGCATCCAGGCGCTGATGCAGACTTGCAGGTAGGATCTGGCGCAGCCCTGCTGACTGCCGAAGGTCTGGGTGATCCAGCGGGGCCCTGGGCTTTTGGCCCGTTTTCTGTTCTACCGCTTTCCTGGCTCAAGGCCAGAGACCCTCAGAGTAGCCCAAGAATCCACGTGGAGGCGGAGTGGCCCCACAGTTAGACGGCGCATTCCAAGGCCGGCTCAGGGGTTGTGGACCCTCTGGGTGCTGTTCAGGGCCATTAAGTTGGTCACTCGGCATGGAACCAAACCATCAGTGTTTCTTGGCTGATTTGTGGACATAGTTCGCTAGGCCAGTCTTCCTTAGTCCGTCTTAGTCTGGAAGCACCACCGAAGCAGCCCAGCACCGTAGCAACACGCAAACCTCCACTGAAGGCGCGATGGGGGCTTTGCGTGAGGCGCGCAGGCCAGGTATCGAACCCAGGTCTCTCACATGGGAGGCGAGAAGTCTACCGCTGGACCGCCGTTGCCCGTGCCCAGCCCTTGATGACTTTTGCCCAGCGGTGGTTTCTGCTACCTTGTTCCTTCAGCTTGGTACATGGTTCATCTGGGGCCCCCCACCCCACCCCACCGCATGAATTCCCCGCTATTCCCTCCGCGATTCCCCACCCACCCCACCCCACACAACGTTCCGGCAGCCTTTCTCCACCCGGGTCAGTAGGACTGGTGATCTACTGTGGCGCCCTGGCTGCCTCAGCTCTGGGAGAGAGTAGAGGGCTGGGCCTCATCTCACCTGTCCGCCTCTCCTTTCTCCCCTGCAGCGTGCTGGATCTCAACGCCTTCGAGAGACAGAACAAGGCAGAGGGGTTGGGCATGGTGAAGGAGGATGGAACGGGTGGGTGAGGCCCTCTCTTGGGGGACATCCTCATCCTTCAGGATCCGCACCCCTGTAACTCCCCCATGGCCCACAGATCCCTTCCTCAAAGACAACCCCCCTTCAAGAACAACCCCTTTTCCTCCCCTCCCTCCCCCCCTACAGCAGTCCCTAACCTGACCCTACTTCCACCATCCCTCCAGGGTGCATGGAGCCTCCACCCACCCCACCCCAGGGGTCCTCCTGCCTGGGTTCCCATCACATGACCTCACTATCTACCCCCACCCCGCTCCCCGGTTAAGCCCTGGTTGGTGTTCTCTCATTAATGCCCCTAATCCGGGTTAATTGAGTCTCCTCTTTGCTGTGTTGTGACTTGTTTAACTTTCTCCCCCACCTCTCCACCTCCACCTCCATCTCCTGTGCCTTCTCTCTCCTCCCTTCTTCCTGCATTCACTCCCCTGTCCTGCCCTCTCCTGGCTCATCCGCGGCCTTCTGCCTCTTGGTCATGTCTGTCCGTTTCGTGCACTGTTTCCCTGTGCGGTGTGTTATGGCTCACGTCTCTGGCTGTGTGACCCCGTGTGTTTTTTCTCGCTCGGTGTCTCTCTTTTTCCCTCTTTTCTCCCGCTTCCTCCTCCTCCTCCTCCCATCCTGTCGGCTGCCCCAGTCAACAATCGCCAGAACGGTAATTTCCCCAGCCCACCCCACCCCTTGCTGTGCTCCCGCCGCCCCTCCCCCTCCGAACCCCACCCACCCACCGGGGGCTGAGGATCTGGGCGCCCCCTCAAGGAGGGGTGACCCTATAGTGGGCACACCAAGCCAGTGGAAAGCCTTCAGGTCGGGGACTCCGGATTTGGGCCCCAGAGTAGCCACTAACAATCCTAGGATAATAATCAAGTCTCTTGCCTTCCTTAAGCCTGTTTCCCCATCTGTAAAACGGAAGCTAGAGAAGACCCCTTTGCAGTGGCTGACCTGGACTTTCACCCCCAGATTCGCAGTCCCAGGGTGGAGTGATTCCCCCCACCCCCAACTCCCTGCACCTGGATCCCATGGGGTCCGTTCAGGCGCCATTTTCCATCCACCAACTCGATTGGGTGCCTCCAGCATCCGCTCTGATTGGTGCGCGCGCCTCTCTGCGCCTGCTCTGGTTGGCCCATTCTCGGTCTTGCCTTCCCTCTCCTTCCCCCACAGCCCACCTGATTGGCTTTTTTCAGATGCCTATTCTGATTGGCCCACGTTGGTATGCCACCCTCCCCTCTGCTTCTCCCGGATTGGCTGCTTTCGAGGCATCTGGGCCAATCAGCTGCTGTCCATCTCCATCCCTCTACCCAGCCTGGCCACCTGCTCAGCACCATTGTGTGACAGTGACACCACCCCCCACTAATAATCTATTAACCACCGCAGCCCTGGGGAGGGGCGGGGACTGGGGGAGATACCAGCTGCCTGAAGGTCTGCTGAGTGGGCATATGCCCAGATGACACACAAGTGGAGACATCAAAGGGACGTTGATGTTGTGAAAGACACTTGAGACCCTTGTTTCATGAATCAGGAGCCCCCTACCATCTCCATGTGCTGATGTCATGGAGGTCGAGACCCCCTGGTGTCATGGAAACTTGGGACCCTCACAGTGTCTTTGAAACGGTGGCTGCTCCTCCCACGCCCCCTATGCTCATGTGCATATGTGTGCCCTGTGCATGCGTCAAATGGCCCTTGTGCTGTGTGCTGGCCCATCTGACCCCTCCTGGGCCCTGCCTCCCTCTACCTCCCAGGAGAGAAGGTCATGGCGGATGATGAGTTCACCCAAGACCTGTTCAGATTCCTGCAGCTGCTCTGTGAGGGGCACAACAATGGTGAGGGGAGGGGCAGTGGGCTGGGGAGGCGCCCAGGGGTTGGGGTGGATCCTTCTGGAAGCCCTTCTCCCCTCCTCATGGAGGCTCTCAACTCCACTGAGGCTTCATCCTGCACCCCCGTCGCCCTCAAGCCCTGCTCACCCTCCTTTCTAAGACTCCTGAATTCCTTGGATCAAACCACGCTGTGTCACTTTCTCTGACCTCATTCAAGGACCCCCAGTGACATAGTGGGTTTCGAATTGGGCTGCTAACCCCCAGGTTAGCAGTTCGAAACCACCAGCCTTTCCCATGGGAGGGAAGATGAGGCTTTCTACTCCTGTAAACAGTCAGTCTTGGAAACCCCCAGGGGCAGTTCTACCGTGCTTGTTGGGTCACTATGAGTCGGAATCAACTTGGTGGCTGGTTCGTGTTTGCAGGGATGGTCTTCATTCAAAGGCCTTCATTCAAAGCCCTGGTGGCACAGCAGCTAAGTGCTCAACTGCTAACCCAAAGGTCGGCGGTTCAAATTCACTATCCAGTTCTTGGGAGAGAGATGAGCCCATGTGCCTTCGTAGAGATTGTAACCTTAGAAACCCAATGGGACAGTTCAATCTTGTATTGTAGGATGGCCAGGCGTCTGAATCGACTGGACATCAGCTGGTTTGGTTGGGGTTCCCTCAGTCCTCAGTCAGGCCAGACGAATCCCCCAAAAGCAATCTCCCCAACCCCAATCTGACACATGGCCTATATGCCAAAACGCAACCCAAGTGGCCAACTTGATGCTCATGTTGTCGTCCCCCAGCCATCCGCTGGGCCTGCCCGAGTCCAGTCCTTGTGAAGGGTTTAGAATCACTCGCTCAGTATAGGGTAGCCCAACAAACAAGGTAAGCGTGGACTTGCTTGTGCTTACCATATAGATTCGTATCTAAGCCAAGTTTTTCAGCATTTTATGCAGCTTTTGTGGTAAAATAGGTGCCTCGGCTGATATTTGGGTCAGTTTATACTTGTGTATATACGGTCCTTAGTAATCTGCTGCCAAGGAGTTCACCCTCCCCCACCATGTCTGATTCTGCTCTTAAACCTGGCTGGCATCTCTCTTTCTCCCCATCTCACAGCCCCTTCCCCCAGAAGCAAAGCTTCTGTTCACATTTAGAGTCCCGTCGTGACAGGTGAGGCTGTCTACTCCTGTAAAGAGTGACAGTCTTGGAAACCCACAAGGGCACTTCGATCCTGTCCTTTGAGGTTGCAGTGAATCGGCACCAGCGCCATGGCAGTGGGTTTTAGTGAGACAGGGACCGACCGGATACCCAGTTAGCTAGTCAAGCCTGGGCTGAAAGAAACACGAGTAGACCCGTGCTTACCTTGCTTACTGGAGTGATCAGCCACCTCTGTTGTTTAGAAAACACTGTCCTGAGGAGGCAGTCCCGCAGACAGTTTCCTCACGTAAGCAAGCCATTACCACGTCATTCTGCATACTCTGCGAAAAGCAGTGAGGCTTATTGAAGGGTCAAAAACCGTCCAGACGGAAAAACGTTTGTTCTTAGCGAATGAGACGCTCTTCTGTGGGGCTGGTCTCTATAGAGCAGAGCTAGGAATTCGTGTTTTAGAATCTGTGTTCAGGGCTGGGTGAGGAAGGCAGTCAGAGGTGGGATAGCTTGAGGCAAGGAACTAAAGGGGATTGGTCTGAGTCTACAATGGCTCCCCTAGACTGGTCACACGGGGTAATTACAGACATTTAAGACTTCCCCGGGGATGAGAAACAGAGTGGTTACAAAGTATCTACAAAGCATTCTTTCGCAAAGATAGTTGGTTTCAGAAACAACAAACAAGCTGAGGTCCACGAATTCCCTGAGGGTAGTTGGCTGTGGGTTTGGCTGGTAAACTGACTGGCTTGGGAACGCTCTTAAGAACAAGTCTTCCTTTATCCTTTGTCACTACACAAAGAAACTTTTTGTTAGCTCAGCCTTTGAAGTTCATGCTGAAGGTCAGAAACACTAGCCAGCTAGCTCTTTTACCGGGGTCATTGGCCTCAGCTTGGGCTGGGGGGCCGGGCTCCTCCAGGTTCCACCGAGCGAACAAGCCCCAGAATGACACAGCAGGTTCATGAAACACCTCTTTGGTGAGAGACACAGAACCTCCTGTGGCAAGCACAGCCTGCCACATGACAGGAACAGGCCCTGTTCTGCGGGAGACCCGTCCTCACAAAGGTCATTTCCTGTAACAAGCGTGTACAGGCTCAAGGCTGTGGTTATAACCTGAGCAGCTGATCCTAAAACCAGTCGCGCCACCCTGAAGCTCACCTTTGTCACAAGATGTCAAGTCATGAGCCATTTCACTCCCGTCACCTCTTTGCCCCACTTGGCTCCTGCGCTTTATGGTAACTGAGCTGTAAATAGTTTTCATCTTCGCCCTTTTCTTTTAAAACAAAAGGATCAAGCTGGGCCCGTGGCTTACGGTCTCACAAGTGTTTGTGTCCACAGCCAACCAGTGTGTCGCCCGAGTGAGTGATGGGCTTCCTTTGCGCCTGGTATCGGGTAGCATTTCATTTCACCTAAGGTGGAATCGGGCTGAGAGATTTGTGATGAATTTGTTCCCTAGATCTGTGACTTGTTGAAAGTGAGAATGTTCTGGTGGGTGGGTTTCTCTCTTCCAACAAAGCCGCCGACTGGTCCCCAGCCTCAATGCCGCCCCCCGCCCCCAGATTCATGAAGTGACCCCATCGTGTCAATATTTGCAAAGCCTTTCAAATCGCAAGGGTCTCCCACTCCATTCAAATCAGACAAGGGTTTGTTTCTGGTGTCGCACCCCACATTTCAGGGTGGGGGTGGAAGGGACCCAGAGGAGATGCCTGCCCCAGGCTGCATGGTCAAAGGTGGCTTACTCAAGGAGGGGGCTTCTGAGACCCACGAAATGAGGAGTTTGCTGCCCCAATTGCTCCGCTGTGCTGGCAGCCAAGTCACTGAACCTCTGGGTGGCTCAGACTGTGTGCAAGAGGCCCTGGTGGCACGAGTTGGGCTGCTGAACATCCGAGGTTCAAACCCACCGGACACTCTGAAGGAGGACAATAGGGCTGCCTGCTCCTCCTGAGGACTGACCTCTCAGAAACCCTAAGGAGCAGTGCCACTCAGTGGCATAGTCCCAGGGGAATCCAACCCCTAGCACACCATTACGGGTCCAGGAGGCTCAATTGTACAGTGATAATAAGAAAAGATTATAGTTAAGTCATAGAGAGCATGAGAGATAGAAGAGAGATTGCAATAATGGAGTAAGACACATTTCATGGTAGCATGCTCACCTCAGCCCCACTTGGTGGTCCAAGTGGAGAGAGGGGGAGGGGAAGGAGGACAAGGGGAAAGGGAACAGGGGAGCAAGGACTGGAGAGGAGAGTGGGAGCCAGAGCCTAGAGAGGCCAAGGGAGTTGCCGAAAGAGCGCTCTATTGCTAACCCAGGCCTATATACCTTTGAGAGGTGTGCAAGTCCACTAATTACAGGTAAAGACATACATCACAGAAAGGGGTTGCACTAAAGGTTATACAGTGATGAGAGGGGGACAATCTAGGGACATACACGAGCTAGGAAGAGGAGGGATTGGGGGTAAACATGTAACAATAAGGCCTGATCCTAGATACAGGATGGCAGCCTAATTCTGGATGTCACTGAGCTGGTTTGATCTGTTCTCTGGATCCCCATAGAAACCATTATCAGTAGGGTGTAAACTCCACCTACAGGAACCAAATAGATGACCACAGGCCTGTCCATTGTCCTTAACCTGCAGGTAGTGGGGCCTACCATAGTCTGGTGACTGTCTTCAGGGAGGATGTCTGTAAGCATCATGTCTTTGGAGGAGATAAAGCTGGGGAAGTCTCTAGAATCCCACAGTATAGGGTCGCTCTGAGTTGGAACCGACTTGATGACAGTGTGTTCATTGACAGGATGATTTAGAGGCGCAGGGGGCTGGCTAACCATGTAGACATGCAGCCCAACTTAAATCAATCAAAACCAAAAAGGTAGAATATGAGGTTGATGGAAAATCCTGGGTATTTGCTTAAAAAATCTTAAATATTTGCATATAACCTGAAACCAGGCAGGAAAGGAATTCAAATGAGCTAGTGTGATCAAGAGATCAAGACACATTTGCATTGGGTAAATCTGCTGCACGCTTTAGGGTGTTGAAAAGCCAGGATGGTACTTTGATGACAAAGGGGCCCCTGAGCCAAGCCATGGAATTTTCAGTCATCTCGAGTGTATGTGACAGTTGGGCATTGAAGAAGGGAGACCGTGGGAGAATAGAGGCCTTTGATTCACGGTGCTGGCATAGACTCTTGCAAGTCCCATGGACTGCCAGTAGGGCAAACAAGCCTGTCTAGGAAGAAGTACAGTCAGGGTGCTCCTTAGAAGCAAGCATGGCGAGACTTCATCTCACATACTTTGGACATGTTGTTATAAGGACCAGGCCCTGGAGAGGACGTCATGCTTGGTAAAGTAGAGGGACAGCAAACAAGAGGAAGGCCCTCATGAGTTGGATGGACACAGGTTGCATCGATGGGCTGAAGTACAGGAACAATTGTGAGGATGGCAGGGCAGACAGTGCAACCGACTGGGTGGCACCTACCGGCAACAACAAGCCTGATCACAGCAACTGGTACACAGGAAGTCACATGACAGGGAAAGCTTTGGGGGAAAACAAACCCAAACCCATGGGTTTGGCTATTAAAACCATCCTGGATGACAGGCCATTCTACAAACACGAAAAAGGCTTAAGTGACCAGTGAATTAGGTCATTTGACAAAGTGGTCAAAAGAAATGGTTCTCAAAAAAAAAATTAAAAAAAAAAAAAAAAGAAATGGTTCTCAAACGTGTGCATCAGGGGGAGCCGAGGCCCAATCTGTGCCACCTAGAGGCTCAGGGACTTGGCTGCCATCACAGCAGAGCCGTGGGGCAACCAATGCCTACTTATGACTTGGGCCTCAGCTCAGAAGTCCCCTCCTTGAGCATGCCGCCTTTGACTACTCAGGCTGGGGCAGGCATCTCCTCAGGGTTCCCCCAGCCCTCTGGAACTCCCCACCCGTTTCACAACCCTGACCATTCTGTCCAATAGCCCCCTACCGCTGCCCATGAACAATGCTTATCTTTTTAAATTAGTATTCCAAAACTTGAGGAGCCCTGATAGGGTAGTGGGTTATGAGTTGGGCTGCTAACCACAAGGTCAGCAGTTTGAAACCACCAGCAGCTCCCAGGAAGAAAGATGAGGCTTTCTACAGTCTCGGGAACCCACAGAGGCAGTTCTACCCTGTCTTGTAGGGTCACTTTGAGTCCGAATCCACTTGATGGCATTGAGTTTGGTTTGGGTTTGGAGGCCCTCATGAAGTACCAGTGAGATAATAAGTTTCCTCTGTATGTACTTGCTCAATAAATAAATGGAAGATTCGATGCCTTCCATGGAGTACTGAATCCACAGGAGAAAGATGAGGCTGTGTGCTCCAGAAAGATTTACAGGCTCAGAATCCCTGTCCTATATGGGGTGGCTAGGAGATGATGTAATGATGTGATGATGTGATGAAGTAATGATGTTATGATGTGATGATGTAATGATGTGATGATGTAATGATGAGATGATGTAATGATTGATGTGATGGCGGTGGTGACTTTCTGCTCCACTTATGTGGCATCTGACACACAGTAGGCCCTCAATAAATCCTTCCTTCCTAAAGGAACACTCCACTGCCCCTCTCCCTTCACTCTTGCTCAGGGCTCAGTTAATGAATGCCTTCCCATTTCCCTAGATTTCCAAAACTACCTGCGGACACAGACCGGGAACACCACCACTATTAACATCATCATCTGCACGGTGGACTATCTGCTGCGGCTGCAGGTGTGGATGTGGGGCTGTCCAGGGGTGACTGGACCTGAATGAGGGGCGTGAGGTGGGCTGGAGGACCAATGGCTGGCCACAGCACC